GGGCTTGGCTCCTGTGCATCATGGTTTAGCTTCCTTGCTGGTGTTACCACTAGTGGGGATTTTTGTTTGGTTGGTTTTTGAATTACTTTTGTTTTTATATTGACTCGTAGTTGTTACAGTGCTGGCTCCTCCCAGGAAACTGAGGCAGCCCAAAGGCTCCCCTTCAAACCCCGATCTGGCGATCGAGTCAGGAAGATTTCAGACATGGCACCCAGAGTAACAGGCATGAGTTTATTGAAGGGATAGGAAAAGGGAAAGGGCACACTCTTGAGGGAGAGAGTGGGTCCTCTCAGGAGAGAGGAGAGGTGTGCTTCTCCTGCCTTCCAGTTTTATTGGGGTTCCAGGGAAGTTTCCAGAGAGTCCAGCCCAGGTTCACCTCTTGATTTCTGACTGACAGCAGTATGACATCAGACTTTCAAGTCCCCATTGCCATGACAACTCGAGGTTACTTTGGCCTATGCTGACTGGTTGTAACTGGATTATTTTTTAAACTAATTAATTAATGTATTTGTCCTAATTTGTTACACATGAGAGCAGAATGCATTTCAGTTCATAGTACACAAATGGAGCACAATTTTTTATTTCTTTGGTTGTGCACAAAGTAGAGTCACACCATTTGTGTTTCATACATGTATCCAGGGTAATGATATCCATCTCATTCCATCATCTTTCCTACCCCCATCCCCTGCCTCCCCTGCCTTTCCCTCCCTTTGTCCTATCTAAAGTTCCTCCATTCCTCCCATGCTCCTCCCCCACTCCCACTATGGATCAGCATCCACTTATCAGAGAAAACATTCAGCCTTTGGTTTTTTGGGATTGGCTAATTTCACTTAGCATGATATTCTCTAACTCTATCTATTTGCTGGCAAATGCCGTGATTTTATTCTCTTTTAATGCTGAGTAATATTCCATTGTGTATATATACCACAGTTTCTTTATCCATTAACCAACCTGAAGGGCATCTAGGTTGGTTCCACAATTTAGCTATTATGAATTGTGCTGCTGTAAACATTGATGTGGCTGGGTCCCTGTAGTATGCTGTTTTTAAGCCCTTTGGGTATAGACCAAGGAGTGGGAAGCTGGATCAATTGGTGGTTCCATTCCCCATTTTTTTTTTTTTTCCATTCCCCATTTTTAAAGGAATCTTCTTACTGGTTTCCAGATTGGCTGCACCAATTTGCGGTTTCACCAGCCATGTGTGAGTGTGCCTTTTCCCCACATCCTTGCCAACAGTTATTGTTGCTTGCATTTTTGATAACTACCATTCTGAGTGAGATGGAATCTTAGAGTCGTTTTGATTTGCATTTCTGTAATTGCTAGAGATGATTAACTTTTTTTATATATTTGTTGATTGATTTATATCTTCTGAGAAGTGTCTGTTCAGTTCCTTAGCCCATTTATTGATTGAGTTATTATTATTATTTTTTTTAGTGTTAAGTTTTCTAAGTTCTTTATATATCCTGGAGATTAGCTCTCCATCTGATGTGTGTGTGGTAAAAATTTGCTCCCATTTTGTAGGCTCTCTATTCACCTCACTGATTGTTTCTTTTGCTGAGAAGAAGCTTTTCAGTTTGAAATCATCCCATTTATTGATTCTCTATTTTATTTCTTGTGCTTTAGGAGTCTTGATAAGGAAGTAGGGCCCTAACCTGACATGATGAAGATTTGGGCCTACTTTTCCTTCATTAGGCGCAGGGGTCTCTGATCTAATTCCTAGGTCCTTGATCCACTTTGAGTTCAGTCTTGTGCATGCTACATATGGATTTCCAATTTTTCCCAGCACCATTTGTTGAAGAGGCTATCTTTTCTCCAATATATGTTTCTGGCACCCTTGTCTAGTATAACTATTTATGTGGATTTGTCTCTGTGTCCTCTATTCTGTACCATTGGTCTACAAGTCTATTTTGGTGCCAATGCCATGCTGTTTTTGTTACTATTGCTCTGTAGTATAGTTTAAGGTCTGGTGCTGTGATGCCACTTGCTTCACTCTTCCTGCTCAGGATTGCTTTGGCTATTCTGGGTCTCTTATTTTTCTAGATGAATTTCATGATTACTTTTTCTATTTCTATGAGGAGTGGCTTTAGGATTTTTGATTGGAATTGCATTGAATCTGTATAGTGCTTTTGGTAGTATGGTCATTTTGACAATGTTAATTCTGCCCATTCAAGAACAAGGAAGATCTTTCCATCTTCTAAGGTCTTTAATTTCTTTCTTTAGAGTTTTGTAATTTACATTGTAGAGGTCTTTCACCCCTTTCATTGATTCCCAGGTGTTTTTTTTTTTTTTTTTTTTGAGGCTGTTGTAAATGGGGTAGTTTCCTAGTTTCTCTTTCAGAGGATTCATTACTGATGTACACAAATGCATTTGATTTATGGGTATTGAAGACAATAGAGAGAGTAAAACAAACAAAAAAGTAAGAAAAATTAAAAATGTAAAGACGGGAGATAAAATAATATACAACACCACTGTAATATACTATTCAGATGTCCCAGTCCTCAATAGCCTAATGCAAGAAAAGTACTTTGTTTCACAAATATTGGGGATGTGAGGGCAGAAAAAGGGAGAGGTAAAAGAAGGGGAAAAAGGAAAGAAAAAATCTCAAAGGAAAATTAAAGAATTGTTTCTGTTGGAAGTCAGTATCTTTCCAGCTCCCTTCTCATCCTATAGGTGGGGTTGTCTGTTGTTTGCTGATGTCTCCACCCTCAGGATGGGGAAGGTTATTAGGGTGGGAGGGTTGGTTTGGGGGTGGAGCTTCTGGAGGTGGGGTATAGCACTTGCCAGTCCTCATTGGGAGACTGCACCTCAAGGATCTCCTTTTGGGCCTGCTCATGTGATGTGGGTGCCTGGTCTTATATGCTTATATCGCCTGTAGACCTCCTGGTCTCTACTTTAGTATCTAAACTATATCTCACTCATCCCTTCCTTTCTACTTCCCATTTGGGAACCTCTGTCTCCAAGGTTTTGTGGGCTGCACTCTGGGGCCTGCAACAGAGAGCTGTTTTGTATTGGGCAGGTCATGACCAGTCTTTGTGAGTTAGGGATGGGCTGCATAGCCGCAAGCACTGTGTCAGATTAGTTGCTGCAGGGGAGAGGGAGAAATTGGGGGGACTATAGGTACCTTGATATTGTTTCTAGGTCCCAGCCAGTGTCCCAAGCTGGGAGTTGCCCCAACTAAAGATGGAAACAAAAGTGTCCCAAGAGGAGGCGGCTGCTTTCAGAGATGGGGTGTTGGGTCAGCCCAGGTGGGGGCGTTGGGCGTTGTGTTTGGAGATGCAGCTCTGTGGTGTGCAGTGTTGTGGTGTCACCAGGAGCAGGTGACTATGGCAGTGGTTGCAGTGTCCCAAGATGGTAGCAACCGGGGGAGCCCCATGCTGGTAGATGGGGGTCCACACAGGAGCTGCAGCCAGGGGTCCTGTGTAGGCCAGGAGCCGGGGGACCTATGCAGACTCAGCAGTCAGTATTCCTGGGCTGGTGCAGCTGTCAGGGTTCCCCTAATATTAAACTCTCAGAAACAGTATTCCCAGTGCTTGAGTCCTAGGTCATGGGGTGACAAGGAATGCAGCCTCCCTCTAGCCTGCCATCTTGGATCCCTCTAACTGAATTCTTAACCATAAAATCTATTTTAGAAGTAACCTTATCTCCCTGAGTTCTGGGATCTGCTCTATGAGAAGTCACAGAAGTCTTCCCCTTCAGGATAACTTGGGTTCCTCTAACCAACATTATTTCAGACCCGCATTTCTCCTGCAGATAGCAGGCAGGTAGGTTGCTGAGGAATATGACATGTGCTATCAACTTACGCCAGGCAGGACTGCGGGTAAATTGCTTCTGGGAAAGAAAGCATGTGGGGGTCAGCACTGTGGGTGCATTTAATAGAATTATCCCCTTATCCTTGCTCCCACCACTTGTGCTGTCTGTCCCTAGTGAAATATCTAATAGTTTTGACTGGTCAGTAGTTAAGAAACTGAAATATGTCCTACCTTCCAGGCTTATGGCATAGTCTTATACAAGTTTGATGTTTTTACCCACTGGAGGTGGGGTATAGCACTTGCCAGTTCCCATTGGGAGACTGTACCCCAAGGATCTCCTTTTGAGCTGCTCATGTGATGGGGGTGCTGGTCTAGAAATTTGCTTTGTCCTGATCATTTGGAGATGATAATATTTTAAAAGATTATTTCATTCTGTAGAAATAAAAAATTTATAAGTATCACTGCACATTTTTTCTGTGTGTATGTGTCTTACATAGAGTTTTTCTTCCCTATGTTTGTTCAGTGGGCCCTTTGAAAAGGATTGCTCAGGAAGCTGCATGAGCCTCCATGAAGAGCAGATGTTCGCAGAAGGTGTAGAAAAACTTGCTGAGTGATGCTGTATTTTGTTCTTCTTGTTCAGTTTTATAAGGCATCAAAAGGACAGGGAAAACAGAATTATCTCAAAATTTTTTTTGAAGGTAACTGTTAGATCTAGAGTAGGTTTGGGGGCAGGTGTAATGTTTAATTAGAGATGAGAATCATTTTTTTTTTAAGTTACTATATTTAACAACAGATTTTAAGATCCTTGCATTAGAAAGTGATCTGTGGACTGGGGATATCATTTGGTGCTGCTTGCCTGCCATGCTTGTGGCTCTGGGGTTGTACCTTTACAGTTGGAAAAAACTGTAAATGTCCTGTGGTGGCACATGTGATGCTTGCATTGTCCTCATAGAAAGTTAAAATCTGGAAAACATTGTCAGACTGACAGCCCTGGGGGCAAAGGTGGACAGTGCCTGTGGCAGGGAGGTGTGAGTCGGCTCTGGGCCTGTTTTTTTTTCTGGGCCTCAGCACCTTGGCCTGCCCTTCTAATCCTTGGACCCTTTTTAACAACTTCATGCTCGGATCTTCCTATGGCTGAATCCACTAACAGTACGTGCATGGGTCTTAGTCGATGGTTTGGGAAATGGCGAGTGTGTATTTGGTGGGTGATTTAAAGTGTATTACAGCATCTAATATATCTTTCCTTTTTTCCAGGAAACTGAAAATGGCCCTTCAGCTATGCTAGGTCTATAATGGGAAGTGTCACACTTCGATATTTCTGTTATGGGTGCCTTTTTACATCTGCGACCTGGACAGTTTTGCTCTTTGTTTACTTTAACTTCAGTGAAGTGACTCAGCCACTTAAGAATGTGCCCATCAAGGGGTCTGGTCCCCACGGACCATTTCCCAAAAAATTCTACCCCCGTTTCACACGAGGTCCAAGCCGAGTGTTAGAGCCACAGTTCAAAGCAAATAGAATTGGTGATGTGCTGGGTAATCACATTGAAGATCCAGAAAAAGACCACCTGAAATTCTCTTCTGAGTTGGGTAAGTGTACCAGCAGCTGTGTCAAAGTATTTAGTCAGTGGGAGTTTATTCTTTAAATTGTATTGCTCAGAGGACTAGATGTGCCATTTTTTTTCTCACACTGATTTATTTTGTTTCAAAACTAGCTGAGGTTTTGTGATTTTTTTTTTTCCCCCAGATCAGTGGGAAAATATATTCTAAATTTTCCATCTCTTAAGTATTTTGTGAGGACTTGGGGGAAATTAATAAGGTTCAAAAGGAAATAAAGAAAGAAAAAGGGTTAGAAAACAGAACTGTGGGAGAAGGTTTTAATTACTAGGATTTTTAATGAGGGGAAGAAATATTTGAAAGATGACTGTATAACTTATTTGAAAGGCAGATTAACTAAACGGAACATAAGGTGTTGTTTTAGAAAAGCTGGGGTTACTCATATCTAATAAGAGTCCACTTGTGAGAATTAAGACAACGGGAACCATACATTAAATATAATTTACAAAATCTTAGTACAAAATAGGACCCCCCCCCCCCCCGTCCCCCCACCATTATATTTTGTTTAATCTGGAAACGGGAATCTACTGGAATGCCTTTGAATACTTTAACTCCTGTAGTCCTGGTTAGCAAATTTTAATTTAAGGGATAAGTGAGCCATTTTGATTATCTTTAAAACTTAAAGTCAACTTTGATATTGTTGTAGAATAAAACAGTTTAAATTTAGTAAGTGATTTTGAGAGGTTGATAGAATATAAAGGAAATATCAAAACATTATTTTTATTTTACAATAGTTTCAAAGAAATAAAATCAGTTTTGAGTACTTAATGATTCTCTATTAAAATTGATTAAGATTCTGTGTGTAAACAGAAACTAATATCTAGTTCAGTTTTTGTCACATACATTCCTGATCTTTTTCAAATAGCCACTAAAAGCATGAGTGAAAATTTTTCTGGCTCTAATTTATTTATGTTTATTTTGGTGAAACGTTAATAGAAAAGTAGCATTTGGTTTGCCATTTTAAAAAAATGTTTTTTAGTTGTTAGTGAACCTTTATTTTATTTGGTGCTGAGAATTGAACCCAGTGTCTCACACACATACTAGGCAAGTGTACTACCACTGAGTCACAGTCCCAGCCCACTGTATTTGCCTTTGAAAGAAGTAGGGAGAGAATTGTAGATATTCAAAGTGACAAACCCAGATTACCTAAGTGAAAATTAAATTCCTTCCAAAAAATTCTTAAGAATCTACAAACATACTGTTAGAGTAGTAAAGAGTGTACTAGATGTGTAAAAATCAGTTGGATTTCTATATATCAGCAATGAATGGTCCAAAAATTATGTTATAAGAACAATTCCATTTATAATGGTGTCAAGAAGAATAGAATACTTAGACATTAATCTAGCCAATGAGGTTAAGTCCTGTGTGCTAAAAACTGCAAAACAGTGCTAGGTAAGTAGAAAGACAGTCTATTTTATTAAATGAAATACTAAATATTATTAAGATGTCAGTATTACACCAAACAACCTGTGAAACTCAGTGCAGTTTCTATCAAAATTCTAATGATTTCGATTAAAATGATGGGAAAAGTTTTTTTCTAAAATTAATATGGAATTGTAGGGTCCCTGAATAGCCAGAAAACTTGTAGAAAAGAAAAAAGTTGGGGCTGGTACTGTGGCTCAGTAGTAGCGCACTTGCCTGGCGTGTGTGAGGCACTGAGTTTAATTCTCAGCACTGTATATAAATAAATAAAATAAAAGTCTATCAACAACTAAAAAAAAAAAAACAAACAAAAAAACAAAGAACAAAGTTGGAGGACTCAGAAGTTTTAAAACTTACAGCTACAGTGATTAAAACAGTTATCTGGCATACGGATAGACATGAGTCCAAAAATAAACCCAGTGAATGCAGTCAGCTGTTTCTTAAAAAATGGGGCTAAGACCTGCACCTCAGATAGAGCATTAATCTCCAGGATATATAAAGAACTCAAAATATTTAACACCAGAAAACCCCCAAATAATAATAAATGGGCAAAGGAACTGAACAGGCACTTCACAGAAGAAATTTGATTGGCCAACAAATACATGAAAAAATATTCATTATCTCTAGCAATTAGAGAAATGCAGATTAAAACTACACTGAGATTCCACTCACTCCCACCAGAATGGCAATTATCAAGAATACAAGTAACAATGAATGTTGATGAGGATGTGGGGAAAGGGTACACCCATACATTGCTGGTGGGACTGCAAATTGGTGCAACCACTCTGGAAAGCAGTATGGAGATTTCTCAGAAAAGTAGGAATGGAACCAAGATTTGACCCAGTTATCCACTCCTTTGTCTCTACCCAAAGAACTTAAAATCAGCATACTACAGTGGTGTAGCCACATCAATGTTTATAGCAGCTCAATTCACAATAGCTAAGCTGTAGAACCAACCAAGGTGCCCTTCAACAGATGAATGGATAAAGAAAATGTGGTATATACTCATGAATGGACTATTACTTGGCCATAAAGAAGAATGAAATTATGGCATTTGCTGGTAAATGGATGGAATTGGAGACTCTCATGCTAAGTGAAATAAGCCAATCCCCCAAAACCAAAGGCCAAATGTTCTGTCTGATATGTGGATGCTAACACAGAACAAGGAATATAGAAGTTCAGTGGATTAGACAAAGGGGAATGAAGGGAAGGGAAGGAAGATAGGAATTGGAAAGAAACAATGAATCAGACATACCTTTCCTATGTTTATATATAAATAGGCCATAGTGAAACTCCACATCACATACAGCCATCAGAATGGGATCCTAGACTGGGTTGTAGCTCAGTGGTTGAGCACTTGCCTCACATGCTTGTGGCACTGGGTTTGATCCTCAGCACTATATAAAAATAAATAGATAAACAAAGATATTATGTCCACGTACAACTAAATAAATAAAAGAAGTAAAGAAAGAAAGAATGGGATCCTAATTAGAATAAGTTATACTCCATGTATGTATAATATGTCAAAATACACTTCACTGTCATGAACAAATTGAGAAAAACAAACTTTTTTTTAAAAAAGGAGGTGAGCTAAGACCATGTAATGGGGAAAGAATAGCTTTTTTATCACACAGTGTTGAGACAACTGGGTATCCACGTGCAAAGAATGTTTTTGGGTCCTTTCTTCATACCACGTGCAAAAATTAACTCAAAATGGATCATAGATCTAAATATAAGAGTGAAAACCTTAAAACACCTACAAGGATAAATCTTCATGATCTTGGACTTGGCAGTGATTTCTTAGATATAACATCAAAAATACAAGTAATAAAGAACAAATAGATAATTTGAACTACATCAAAATAAAAACGAGCATTGAGGACACTAAAAAAAAAAAGATAGTGCACAGAATGGGAGAAAATATTTGCAAATCACATCTCTAAGAAGAGCCCAGTGTCCAGAAATATATAAAGAATTCTTCCAGCTCAACAATAAAAAGACAAATAGCTTGATTTAAAAATGGGTAAAAGATTTGTTAGATCTCTTTCGAAAGACATTCCAGTGACCAACAGACACAAAAAGATCTTAACAGAATTTGTTATTATGGAAGTGCAAATTAAAACCATTTCACACCCATCTGGATGGCACTAACGAAGATGCAAGTGATCAACGAGTGTTAGTGGACACAGCGGAGCTGAAACCTCACGTGTTGCTGGTGGGTGTCAGGTGGCACACTGCTGTGGAGGAGTTGGTGGTTCCCCAGTAAGGGATGAAGGGTTGCCACGTACCCAGTAGTTTTACCCCCGGGTGTATACTTGAAAGAATTGCCAACACCAACCCCAGTGATAGAGAGCTTGCCTAGCACGTGTGAGGCCCTGGGTTTCATCCCCAGCACTGCACACCCACACATGCAAAAGAATTGCAAATGGGTGTAAAAACTTATACACAGATGTTCATAGCAACACTGTTCTTAATACTAGACAAGGTGGAAATGGCTCAGGCATCCATCAGCTGATGAAGGGATAAAGAAAAAATGTGGTCTACCCATATGTTAGAGTATAATTCAGACATAGACAGGAATGAAGTTATCACACATGATCTAACACAGGGGAACCTTGAAAGCATGCCAAGTGAAAGGCCAGACCCAGGGCGCATGCTGTGGGGTCCATTCATGTTGAGATGTCCAGAAGAGGCACATGGATAGAGACAGAGTCTAGTGGTGGCCCGGGCAGGGCAGGGTATTGGGCACTGCATGGGTGGGTGCAGGGTTCCTGTGGAGTGGGGAAAATATTATGCAGCTAGATAATTGTTACAGCAAACAGTACTGTGAATGTGCTAAATGTCAGTAATGATACTTTTTAGGATAATTAATTACTGCAATTAAAAAATGAAAAAGCCTGTCTAAATTCTACAAAGGAAACAATTCAGAAGGAATTAGTATAAATCAGTATAGTAATAACTAAAAGTATGCTGATTTATGAAGTTATCAGTAAACAATTATGGGAAAAAAGTGGAAAAGTACATTTTAGAAAGATATCAGCAGTAAATTTAAAATTACAAACGTTTTCTCATTTAATCTGCAGGTAATTATAAAGTTGATTGAAATAACTCCTTAGGTGCTAATTAATGAGGTTTGGCTCATTGTATTTGAGCAGGGAAAGGAGAAAAGTGTGTAGAAGCGATCTTTTAATTTAAAATAATTTTTCATCAAGAGATCTCTATTAGGAAAAGGTTCTCTGTGTCCTGGGCAGGAGGTCTGTGTGGTGATGGTTGAATGGAGGAGGACTGAGACTCTGCCAGGTGCCAACCTGGGTGCCGGGTATGGAGCGATTCAAAGCCACTTCTCTGTTAGAGTTTCCTTGGTGAAATGTAAATAGTGATGTGTTGTCATGTGCTGGGAAAGGCTCTGGCCAGAGGCATGGACAGAGCTCACACTGCCACAGGCACCAGGTGTCCTGTGGCCAGGAGCACTAGGAGACACCCCAGGACCAGCCGCCCACACCTGAATGACAGGAGCTCATGTTAAAGAACAGAGCTGTCCCTTCACTTTCAGAATCCTGCATTTCTCCATTTCCTTTGATCGTGAAATCTTATTTTTTTCAACATATGTTGGTGTCCATGGTATTAGCTTTCCGTGAACAGACCTGGGAAATGCTGTTTCACAGCGAGTTATTCTGCAAGGAGAGCTGAGGGTTCTGCATGGGAAAGAGGCACAAAAGGAGCGGCTTTCTTTCTAAGCAGATGAGAGTTCTGACAAACATGAGAGGATGCAGGGAGAAGCACAGAAATCTTGATGAGGTCTGTGCAGGAGTTCCTTGATGGAGGAGTCCTTCTAACAGTGTGTCAGTAGTCTTTTGGGGTAGCGTTCATATAAAAATTGGCCAAGATTGGCAGTTGTCAAAGTCCATTGGGATTTAATAATTCATTATTGTGAGGAAAATTTTCAGAAGAAAATTTTTTCTTGATCAGAGGTCAATTCGTCTGTTGAATATAATATGCTCTTAAGATTTGACCTGTGAGCAGGTGTTGCTTATGGTTAGGACAAACTTAATTTTTTACCAGACTGATGATAATAATTTGACCTTGATCTCAGTTTATTTATTTGTAGCTGGAGACTTAATTTGAGAAACATGACTCTTATCTGGTAAATTATAGGGTCCAGTTGAGACTTGGGAAACTTGGACATCATGGCAGTAACCTGAAAGCCTCTCCACACCATGTGCGCTGACGGTAACTTCACTCTTTTGTAGGCATGATTTTCAATGAACGTGATCAGGAGCTGAGAGACTTGGGCTATCAGAAACACGCCTTTAATATGCTCATTAGCAACCGCCTGGGCTACCGCAGAGATGTGCCGGACACCAGGGATGCCGCGTACGTCCGTCCCACTTCCTTTCTGCTCGTGGAATTTGGTGATGGTGCTTTTAGTGCTGGTCTGAGTCAGAAGGGTGGTGGGCTTGGGCTTTCCACTTCTATTATCCTGGAAGCCCTGTGGTCTGAGGTTTGCTGACAAGGTCCTGGAGCTTTCTGTGTCCTGAAATTTCCTTACATGAGAAGGAGGAAGGGGCTGCAGATTAAATAACCTGAACCTAAGCTCATTTTAAATGTTTATTTTTTTGGAGTTATGGCAAAAGGAAATTAGAGTCGGTAAGGAATTTTTCACTTATAATCTTTACAGTTTCATTTTTTTCTTTGAAAGGCTTTTTCATTCCACTGTCAGACATTTGTTGAGGCTTTCTGTTTGCTAAGTACTATTAGGCCCTGGAAATCAGAAGTATTAAGACGTAATCTCTGGATTCCCAGGGCTTGGGGTCCAGCAGGGGAGGCAGAGGAGTGAGCAGGGCAACGCAACAGCACACGGGAAGGGGCTGAGGTGGGAAGCAGGGAAGTGGGGACCCGGTGCCTGGGCAGGTCAGGCCTCATGGAGGTCAGAGGCCTTTCCATGTGAAGGAACAGCTGGTGGAGATGCTCAGGACGCTCAAGTCTTACAAGGTTGCCAGGACTGACCCAAAGCCCTCCGGCTCTGCGGGAGAAGAGCAGAGGCCGGCTGACCCGCAGGACTGCCATGTGGATGCCGTGGAGGGAATCAGCACTCTGGATTGCAGGCTTCCTAGTCTGTCGTCACAGCCACCTCACTCTTATCCAGTAGTGCTCACTTGCAAACTCTTCTGTTGTCTTGAGACACTGTGGGCTTGTCATCAAACCTTTTGGTAATATTGAGCAAAAAATAACCAGTTTCAAATGTTTTCCTTTGATGTTTCTTGTTAGGGTCTGTAAACAAGTCAGGATGGCGCCTGGCATTTTGCCAGGGGGAGTGGTTTGTGAAGTAACGCCAGCGAGCCATTAAGTGTGGAGATTCCTTATTGGTTGACTGCTGTATCTAGTTTATGTTAAT